TTTGTTGTGTAATTCGTTCTTTTTTTATGAAATATCAATTCTTGGATGAAGAGATGAATAATTCTTCGTGTAATTTAATTTCTTTCTTCCTCTCCAATTGATGTTTATTCTACACGTGTGTATGCAAATGAAGAAATTTCCATTATGCAAATGATTCAGATATAATTGTTACTATCAGTGTCATAAAGTGTGTTGACAGCATTCGTCGATAGAAATGAATGAAATAAAATACAAATAATAATCTTGGCACATTTACACTCACAGTGGTTAACAGAAAAGTATGAAGTAACTACATACTTCCTTCATATTTAAATTACTCAACTTTATCCAAGCATGACTTTACATTTCTTTCAAAAACAGTAAATTCCGGCATGTACTATTCATTTTAATCTGTACATAACTCAAAGTTATCTTGGAAAACGTGTAAAAAATTCTCTGTTTACAACATATTTGCAAGTGACAATTTACAGATGTAATTAGAAATGTTATCTAAGTTTCGTCAATGAACAGTATCACACAATAAAGTTGACGCTATATATCTAATTCTTTTGTTCAAAATATTTCACTTGAGTGTCAAAAAAAAAAAAAAAAAAAATTCAGACAGTCGTAATTATATAAAAATTACAAATTCAAAATAAACCAATGACTTTCTTCAAAAGTCAAAAGTTTCATTCTATTCGCATTTTTGACTTATTTTCGCACAGTACCCCTTCGTATACACTACTGGCCAAAAGTTTGGAATCACTGAGCATTGCAATTTACACAAAAGTTTCCAGAAAAAAGTCGAGCGACTTTGAGAATTTTTTATCGTTCAAATCAATTGATATGGGATAAATTGATAAATGTAGAACTGAGATAAGCTTCAAATCTATAAAAATATTAGCAGCAGATTTAATATTGATGAAAAGTGGGATGTGATTCCAAACTTTTGACCGGTAGTGTATATACCTGGTGTTCACTTCATTACCAGCCAACGTTTTTCTTGTAAATGGTACCTAAGTGATGGAAAAAGTGAAAGAGGAAGAAGTTTTACTGTTTTCATATTTGCAATATTCTTCGAAAAAATGAAAGCGACTTGCAACTTCTTCAGTGGAATAAAACAACAGTGTCGATAAAGCAAAACAAAAATTGAATTGCTCCAAGTATTTCTTTCCTTCCTAATCTTGTACGATTTCGTAAATCATTGTGTTAGGTACGTATAGTTAAATTCGTCTTGACAGTCGCTTTCATATCATACAACAAAATATACGGCATCTCGTTCAAAAAATTGCCTCCGTTTTCGAAAAATATAAAAAATTTACGCAATACATAAATACAAATAATTTGCAAATATAAAAAATTGACACGCGCTATTTCCTCATTTTTCCCATTGTACTCACCATTTACAAAAAACAACCCGGGCTAGTAATAACGCGAACGCCCTAAATGGCACCGAGCACTCGTTTCTCAATTTTGCATTAACTTACTCAAAAAACTTAGGCGAAAAATTCTTCTCACATTAGAAGAAAGAGAATTTCATCCCGCTGCGTGGCAATATCAAAACACTATCTACATATAACTCGAACACCCTATATATGCACCACGAGAAGAAAAGCGTCCTGTTAGGCGAACGCGGAGGAGAAAAAAAAAAAGAAAGTATGTCGCAAAAGGTCCGTCCAAAATGGTTGCCCGATCGATCATGCGACGACAGTCGATGTCACTAGGCTGCATTGTTAAAAGAAGAAAGTTATGCAAACGCGGCGAGATTACTTCGAATTGCACCGCCGTTGTAGTTTGATACGTTTTGTCCGGCGTGGTAAACGCGAAGACACTGGAGCTGTCGACGAACGACGAGGTTCCGTGCCGGTGAATAAGCCTCGTTAACATACAAGTGAGAAACGTTGTTTCGTAGTTTCACGTTTATTATCTTGCGAAACGTCACGGCCAGCGGTGCGTAAAGCAATCAAAAGAATAGATGATACCCTCGTCGGAGTCATCCGAAGCGACATTTCGATGCAAGTGCAAAGTGTTTCGGATTTCTACCGCCTCTTTTCCGCGTTTCCAGAGGAACAGTTTTGTGCCAACTGTGTGAACAATTTCTCCTCCTTTGCAACTTGTTTTCGGTGTATCTACGCGAAGGAATATTTACTTTCTGACGGGTTTTGCTCGAGCGTGAAATGCGTGCTTTCTATACTTCGAATTGTATCGTAACGGGTTTGTTGATTAAATTAGCAGCGAAGGGGTGAAAATTTAGCAGCAGGTAGCATCGTTAATTTCTATGGCTTTGGACATTTCTTTCATCCTCTTTTATGTGAAACATATTTCAAGGAAAGGAAAAATTTGATTATTCTTCAATTTTAATACTGTCGTTATAAATACTTAATAATTTCTAATATATTTAAATATATCGTTACATTTGCAGTTTAATTTATTGTTAATTTCTATGGTTTTCGAACTTTCTTTCATTCTCTTTTATTTGAAACATATTTCAACGAAAGGAAAAAAGGAATTATTCTTCAACTTTAGTACTGTCTTTGTATTTATAAT